GGGGCGGGGCTGGAAACGGGGGCGGAGGGGGCTTAGGGGGGCTGGGGGTTGGCTGTTGTTTTTTTGAAGGTCTTCATTTCGGCCCCTGGAGAGTGTATGGACGCGCGTCCGCAGAGGCATCGAAAGGTCTGTTTGCGCCTCGGGGAAGGTGGGCGTGGCAACAGATGAAGGGAGTGTCCTCTAAGGAGGTCTGGAGAGGTGCTGYCACACGTGTCGCTGTCGACGACGATGGCARGTGAAGAATCGAGGTCGGGGCCCGTCCGTCTGCTACATGTTGTCGATGCGTTTGCGCCTCCTCCCTCATAAAGGTTGTCCGCTTGCGGCTTCTCCAGCATTGAAGGTTGGCGCACACGGTACACAACTTTTACAACCACGCGGGACGCCCTGTGCCTTTTGTCGTCGTCGCAGCGCACCGCAATCGAGTGCTCGCCCCTTTCATCGCACTCCTCCTCGTCCAAGACTTCTTCAGTGCCGTCGACGATCATCGCTGTGGATCTTGTCGTCTTGTCGTTACGTGGACATTCCGTGCCGTGTAAAGCGCTCGCGTTCGCCACGGGGAGGTCTGCAGACACCGTTTAAGACGACGTGGTCGCGGACTTCGGCATCATTGTACGCGGACCACTCTTTCCTTCTCGCCCCGGATCCGTAGCGCCCCTCGGGAGGTTTGGCGGCCTTCAGTCGCGAAGATCTTCTTCTCGCCGCGGAGAAGTGTCGGCTGGGTTGATCTCCTTCTCGCGTTGACATCCACGCCGACCTTGTGTGTGTGGCGAGGGCGTTTCTTCATCGTCGGTGCGAACGCGGGTGATTGAGGCACAGCAGTCTCGCTGGTGTTGCCCAAGCACTTCGGTACACCTGCTCGCGTTGGTCCCCAACGCGGCGAAGGCGGTAGTTCCTCCTCTTCGAGAACGCAGGCGTGGCCACACACAGCCATTAAGGGAAGCGGCAAGCATGTCTGCGAGTGGCGGCGCCCGTGGCAAGAAGCGGGAAAACATGCCCGCGGACACTCAGCGGCGGGAAACGGGTCGGCGGCATGTCCCCAAGGCGAAGAGGCTTCGTTCGGAAGAAGCATCAGCAAGCCTGCCTCTTCGGCGAGAGCGATATTGGGCTACAGCTAACGAGGAGGAGGAGGACGACGTGTTTATGACAGAGGAAGAAGCAGCAGAGGACACCGTGTTGGCACCTCGGGGAAGCACACTTCAAAGGTCATCTGATTAGAACGCTGCGAGGAGATTGCCGACGCCCCCTCCGGAAGCGCAACAAGTGCGTGCCCACAATACCCCGAAGGTGAAGGAGGTTGTCGTTGACGCCGGCGGCGAGGACGACGAGCCCTTGGAAAGCCGTAGGCAGCGCAATGTCACACAAGGCGCCACGGCAACGGCGCTCAAGATACGTGGCGCGACTGAAGAAAGGCCACCTCAGGGTGGCCTGCTGTCCACGCCGTCTTGGCCACGTCTGCACAACACGGCTGCAGAGGGAGGCCCCATGGAACGCGGCGGAGGTGAGGGGGCCCAGCAACAAGCGCGCGTGGCGAGTGGGGGGGAGGTCGCTGGTGCAGCCGCTGGGTCTTTGGGCATTGTTGCTGCCGTGGCGAGAGCGAGAGAGGAGGTCCCTGTTGTGGAGCGGGAGGTGCCACGCGGCGACAACAAGGGTGATAGGGAGGATGAGGACCCCCTTTTAAGCCGGGTTCGGAGGGGAGGGATGGCGAAAGATCTCGCCGAGCGTGCCCGGCTGTGGGTTGATGACAAAGCGTTTTGGATGACGGGGGGGGGCAGAAGACTGTACAACATCGTCCACGAAAAGTGGGAGTACTTTGTCGCCATCGCCAGCGGGCTGCAAGCGCCCGCCGTCCCCCGGAGCATCGTCATGCCAAAATCCGCCACGAGCCTGACAAGGATTGCAGATCCCGCACAACTGCAGCAGGCGATCTCCCGTGCGACGGCAGCGGAGAACATTGCTCTACGCGTCTTGCACGGATGGGACTTCAAGTCCGGGAACCGCCCTCGAGGATACAATCTCGCTTTCCAGTACGTGTTGGAGTCGGTGGCGACGGACATTGCGCGTGCCATGTGGTACGACGAGGAGTGGAGCAACGTCGTGAGTGTGATCGTTTGCGCGCACACAATCAACCTGAACATGGACTTGCCACTGTGGTTTGCGGGCCCGAACATCGAGGATAGGACGGAGGACGACGACATGGCGGCGCACCAGGAGTCGACCGTTGTATGCATCGCGCATGCATTTCGCGCCGCGGTGCAAATGGGTGGCAACATCGACGGCGGGTTTATCTCACACGACCGTCTCTCAAGGATTGCAGATTGCTTCAGGCTTTTGTTGGCAGCCAGCATGTGGTTGATGCGCATGGCGGAAGATGATCCGTGCAGCCACTATGAAGCCTTCTACTTCGCGAAGCTGGTCGCAAAGCCCACGCTCGTCTCGTCCATGCATCGCTCGTTCGATCATAGACGGTCCGTCATCTGAGCCACCAACGCCGTCACGGAGAGACAGGGGAATGCGAACGCCACCTTTGGAGAGTACCCCAAGTACATCCCCGACTGGGCTTCCTGCGGCATCATCTTCGGGCACGACGCGAGCATAACGGGGCCGGAGGACGCGAAGAGGAGGGATTGGTTGGGTTCGGGCCCCTTGGAGGACGACGACGACGACGATGGACAAGACGACGCGTAGGGGGGGGGGGAGGAGGGAGGAGGAGGGTATTGCTGCTGCTCACACGTGCAGGGCGGGAGAGGGTAACTGAACGGGTCGCGTTTGTCGGCGCGGGTTTGGGAAGTGGAGAGGGGGCAGTGCTTGGCGGCGTCGGAGATGCAGTTTTCGTGGCGAGGCGTTTGGAAAACGGATTCTTGATGGCCTCTCCCTTCGTTCCGCACTTGTACAGCATGTCGCTCTTGCTTCTAGACGCCCGACGTTTTCGGTCATCCACTCTGGCAGGGGTGCTTTATGTGACAACGGTCGCCGTTGCTTATGTATGTGGATACTGTGTCGATGCTGATAGTGGAGAAGCGACGGTAGACGGCGCTCTCTTCAGCACATTCTTGGAGCGAAGTAGGTGTCTGCGATCTTGTATTGTGTTGTTGTCAGCGCAGCTTGCTGCGRAAAAACTTGATTGCGCTTGGGGCGCACCTTTAATTTTATAATTTTGATTCCTTCTGTATTTCGTCAGTTTGTAGATCATGATTGATCACTCACTCCACACCGAATGGTCTTCCTCATGAAACACGAGTAGTCCTTGGCTTGTTGGATGTAAATTCACGCATCTCATCTTCATGTGCTTGTGCCATTGTCGGTTGTTTTTTTTTTTTTTTTTTTTTTTTTTTCACGAGTTATCCCAATGCCAAACAAAAGACGTGTTTGTGTTTCAGTTCAACACTCGCAGGAAGACAAAGCGCAGCGCACCATATAGCATAAGATGTCCGACAAAACATGTATTGAACATGCAATGGCACACTGCATCAACGCAATGAAATAGCAACACACAATATCGACGCAATGAAATAGGCACACACACAATGCCAACGCATACTGRAAATCGARGAAAGAAACTTTCAAAGGGATTCGCGAAATCGTTCAACAATTCATAGCGGAGAATTCAAAATCGAAGGCAGGTGGGGAACAAGTTTCAGCCCCACCCGAAAGACGAACAGTGCTCCGTCTACTAAACTGCGCCCGCTGTGCCAAAAAAGGCGCACTTCCCACCCGCAGTGCGTCGTRTTCACACTACACAACTTCAACGCCAATCACAGAAATCAAGAAAATGGATGGCGACGCACATCCACGAATCACGACGACAACGAACCACGACCCTCGATGCAAACTACCGACCCCAAATGCAGGACATAACCTAGCTACCCAATCAAGGCTAGATGGAACAACGAATCTGCCCTCYGGYCATTGTTACAACGAATGCACTACCACGCGCTGTCGTCCACCATRRAAAACAYGACCCTYCATGCAAACCACCAACCCYGACGGGGGACAGACGCTAGCRACCCAATCAAGGCAGGACRRAACAAYGAATCTGCCCTTCGGCCATTGCTRSAGTGAATGCACTTCCACTCGACGTCGCACACCATTAGCATCGACCTCCCATAGCAGATTCTCGTCAAAGGGGATTCCTGCGTCGATCAGTATGTTGTGCAGTATGCATACGGCGGTGAACTGTTGCGGGAGCGTGTCCAGGTTTGTCTTATGTGTCCATAGAAACAGCCGCCACATGCCCTTCAGCCTCCCGAACGCCCTCTCCACCGCTCCCCTCGCCACCTTCTGCTTGTTGTCAAACTACTCCTCGTCGACGTGCTGATTGATGCCTCTATACGGGACGACCATCCATTCCGAAGGGGGGTAGCCATTGTCCTCTCGAACGTACCCGTTCGTCTTCACACCGAACGACAGTGTCACGGGGAGACCACGGAACAACGACCCCTCCTCCGTGCGCAGTGACAGGCTGGACAAGTGCAGCACCCTGATGTCGTGGCAGCTACCTGGGTATCCCATGTGCACGTCGAGCACACGCAAGTCCAGGTCGACGACAGCCTGCGCGACGATGGAGAAACGGCGCTTCCTGTCGTACAGTCGTAGTGGTTTTCGCTCGGAGCGTTCGCCGGCTTGTCGACCTAGATGTGAGTACAATCAATGCAGCCGTGGCAGTTGGGGAACCCTTTATCAACAAAYGCCCGCTGAACGACGAGTTTACGAACCCCTGTCGGCCACGCGATCTTCTCTCCAAACACCCTTAGCAGCGTGGCAGTCACGTCGCGGACGACAATCAACCCAGAAGCTTGTCCAATCCCGAAGTTGTACGTGCTGCTCTCGTACGTTTCCCCTGAAGCCCACCTATACAGTGCGTACGCCACAATCTGGTCTGGCTGCAGATGAGGCGCATACGCCTCCGCGATTTCCCGGAACACTCGCGGCGACATTCGTAGCTTGTCCCGGAAGTAGTCGTCTGTCGCGTCGTCGCATTGCCTGAGGTCTTCCCACGTGCCTCCTGTCCAGCGCTTCACCCACCAACGCGGCATCGCACGAGGAATCACTCCGGAACCCAACGGGTAGCACAACTCAACAACAGCCTCCGACATCGCCACGTATTCGGCCCCATCGTCCGGAGCTTGCATCAATGTCCTCCATCTACGTGCGTGCAACTGCTCCTTCAGTCGTCCCAGTGCCCTCTCCTGCTGACATCGAAGAACGATCGTGGACACGGCCGCCGCCATGGCCTGCAGCTCACGAGGCGTCAACACATCACGTCTACCCTCTGCGCCGCCCTCCATAGCCGCGACGTGGACACAGTCTCGTATGTCCGCTGCCGTCGAAAGGTGGCCCCTTTTCTCTCCTTACACTCCCGCGCACAGAAACGACGAGCAAGGCGCAGTCGACGTGTGCAGAGGTCCACGGCGATGGACGCACCACACGCTGCCCGCGCACTAGCAAC